TTGATCTCTAGTGTTAATTAGCACTTATTTCAACAAATTTATAATCCTTTGTCTGGTATTATAATGGTGCTTTTATTCAAGCTACTGTTAACACCCCCTGAGGCATGAATTTCCCTTTTGTACAGAGGAGGAAATTAAGCCTTAGAGAAGTTAACAGTATACCCAAAGTCACAATTAGTATTTTGTTCTAGGTCTTGATTTAAGGTTATGAATGTTTATAAATTTTTTGTAAATTATATGCATTATATCTCTGTGTAGGTGGGAGAGAGGAAAGAGGGGCTCATAAGAATTACTTAGGAGGTTTTTCAAAATACATAGACCCTTTTTATCACCTTCTCCCAAATAATGTATTATACAACTTTTGTTAAACATCTGCTTCCTAAATGTGAATTGTCTGTAATTCTTTAGTATATGCTTGAAGGCTACTTAAAAGGAATTCTGTATTCTTCTGTTGGTGGTAGGATATAATATGGTAGTTTCTACTGGAGTATACCCATCAGTGAATGACTAGTTTTTGCTACCCATATTCTGGTTGTATCATTCACATGAACTTTCTTGCATGTTGGTTTTCAAAGGGCATCCCCTTGGGTTATATAAATTATGAATGTAAGTGAATGAGTTAATGTAATTGTTCAACTCTTGTTAGCTCCAGAAATGTGAGTTTGTAATTTGGAGGACACTTTGAGATTTTCCTGATCTCACTGTGAGCCATATAGCCTATTGTGTGCTTCCCATGTTGCTGGTCATTTGCTGGGATAGGGAGAAGATTGGTGGTTAACTAGACTGGTGTTCAGGATATTATTGAAGAGTAGTAATTTAGATTAAAAATGGAGAATACTGAAACTAAGGCATTGAGACTAGAGCAGATTAGAAAGATATCTAGAAGTCAGAGTTGGTAGTAAATGGTAATAATTGGGAGGGGTTTGATATTTGGGGGACTCAGTATATAAGATCCTTTTCCCTTGCCTGAGTTCTGAATTGAGGAATAAAACAAAAAGCAGATGAAAAAATGAAATACTACTGTTTTTAAAATAAGTTTTTTATTGAGATAAAAATTCATGTATTGTAAAATTCACCATTTTTAAGTGTATAGTTTGGTGGTTTTATACTAAAGGTTTTTATTTAAAAGATTGTACAACTAACACCACCATCTAATTCCAGAACATTTTCATCACTCCAAAAAAAAACCTGTTAGTAGTCACTACTGCCCCTTCTCTCCCACTGCCCCCCATCCTGCCACCTGCCCCATCTCCTGGCAACCACTAATCTACTTTCCACCTCTAGGGTTTGCCTATTCTGAACAGTTCATATAAATGGAATGATACATTGTGTGGCCTTTTGTGTCTGCCTACTTTGACTTAGCATAAGGCTTTCAAGGTTCATCCATGTTGTAGGATGTAACAGTACTTCCTTTTTCTGGCTGGATAATATTCCATTGTATAGTACATGGATATTATGGATTATATGGATATATAGATAGGCAACATTTTGTTTATCCAGTCATCAGTTGATGGACATTTGGTTTATTTCTACTTTTTGGTTATTATGCTGCTACAAACATTTATGTGCAAGTTTTTGTGCGAATGTGTGTTTTAAATTCTTTTGGGGGTACATATGTGTATACTACATGTATGTGTATAAATATCCCAAGAGGATTTTATATATATGTGTATATTTACACAGACACATGCCTAGGAACAGAATTGCTAGGTCATATAGTTAATTCAACTTTTGGAAGAATTACCTTTGGTTTTGATAAAACTGATACTGTAGAATATAGAATGTGACTTAGGTTTAAGAGGCAAATAAGCTAACTTTCCACATTTTTGTATCTCTGCCTACCCAGTGTAGATCATGGGACAGCCCACCTGATGATGAATCTAGATTGTTAAGATCAGCAGAGCAAGCACTCCCAGATCACTACCTTGTAGATCCTGGATGTAGAGACCTGGAGTTAATTCTGCTCACTAACCAAGTTACCTCTTTGGTGTGGAGTAGGCCAGGAGCCCTGGGGTGTTTAGAGAAGTCATTCCTCATAGAAATGAAGAGTTGGAAGACAGCGTTCTGATCTAACGAAGGAAAAGAAAGGGGTTAAACTAGAAACCTGAAAGCCATTCTTACATAAAGGGCTATGCTATTTTATCAAGGTTGGGAATACATTAAACAAAGATGATGAATTCAGTTTTGGACATGATAAATTTGCAATTTCCAGAATGGAATGTTAGATATTTATGTTTGGAGATCAGGAGATTGATTCCTGCTAGAGATGTAGATTTGAGATTTATCTGCATACAGGCAATTGAAATACAGAAGTGGATAAATCACCCATAAAGTAAAGCAGTAGGGAAAACTGTCTAGTAATTCCCATATCTTGGAAGTCTTGGAGGTTTTGATTCTGCCAACTGATGTTTCAACTCTCTCTTACTCTGAGTGGCTTGTTTCCTTCTGGATTTTGTGGTTTTTGATTGTGAATTTATTTATTTTGGAACCTAGCTGTGGGAATTCTTCTAGGCTTAGATCAAGGCAAACTCCCCAGACAGGATTTGCATTTGCTCTGTCAAGGTTGGATGTGAGAGCTAGCTTTCTGAAACTACCCTAAGCAGAATTCGAAGTATGAATCTTTTTTTTTTTTTTTGAGTGGGCATCTCTCATATTTATTGATCAAATGGTTGTTAATAAAATTCTGTATAGGGGGGTCAATGCTCAATGCACGATCATTAATCCATCTCAAGCCTAATTCTCGTCAGTCTCCAATCTTCTGAAGCATAACGAACAAGTTCTTACATGGTGAACGAGTTCTTACATAGTGAATAAGTTCTTACATGGTGAACAGTACAAGGGCATTCATCACAGAAACTTTCGGTTTTGATCACGCATTATGAATTATAAACAATCAGGTCAAATATGAATATTCGTTTGATTTTTATACTTGATTTATATGTGGATCCCACATTTCTCCCTTTATTATTATTATTATTTTTATTTTTAATAAAATGCTGAAGTGGTAGGTAGATGCAAGATAAAGGTAGAAAACATAGTTTAGTGTTGTAAGAGAGCAATTGTAGATGATCAGGTGTGTGCCTGTAGACTATGTGTTAATCCAAGCTAGACAAGGGCATTAAAACATCCANTCTTACCCGTCTCTGGCTAACCAGTCATCTTCCGGGGCCATACAGGGAGATGTAAAGTTGGTAAGTGAGAGAGAGGCCATATTGTTTGAAAAGGTTAGCTTTTTACTTCTTTGCAGATTTATGCCCTGTGGCTTCTGTGCCCAGCACTTGTCTCGAGGTATCTTTACCACCTGGAGGAATTACGATGCTCTGTAAATTCGATATGAGGCACGAATTCTATTTATGGGTTGTAATTAGGAAGGAAGAAGAAAAGCTATAGAGGTATCATATGGAAGAAAACATGGGAGGATTGATTATTTCTTTGCCGTATCTTCTTGTAGAGTACCTTAAGCATGTATGAAGTATGAATCTTTTTAAACCATAATCTAGGTGAGGGTCAGTTTATGATTGTAAATATTAGGGGAGATACATACTATTGTGCTGCTCTCATAGTCCCTTATCCCCTCACCAGCACTCAGTGCCAAGGTTAAGAACTTTTACTTGCAGTTTTCTTAGTAACACCTGGACTTTGCTTCTTGTACCTTGGGCACCAGTTGGCCTTGGAATTGCAAGCTGAAGTGCACTGGCAGAATGCCCTGAAGGTGATAAAAGCTGGTTTCAGTACTCTGCATACTTCTCTAGTTTCCCTCTTTTAGTTTTTGGCCTTGATCATACCCTCTTTTCTTTCTGGTCATTGATTTAACTTATAAAGAATAAAAATATTTTAGCCACTGTGTTTTTTACTTTCAGTGGTCATGTTGATCAAACTAGCTGTCTACCATTCTGACAAAAATGGAAGTGTTTGTCTCTTCAACACGTGTAGGGAATTAAGTCAGCGTCTAAGTCAAATGTTATAAACTTGGGACAACATCCAGTGTTTTGTCTCGCCCCCACAGTATTTAAAAAATAAAAATCAGGAGATTTCAATAAAAAATTCTGATATCTTGCTTCTCTTGAGAAATCAGAAGTTCTCAAAATACTGGGCTTGCAGTCCGGTCTAGCAACAATTGGCTAGAACTGGGAATAGCAGCTGATCCCTTTAGAGTGAACATGTTTTCTTTAGTTGCATACAGTCTTCACCATTTGTGCAATGTATACATATCCATTCCAGCTTACCTCATTCATGTTATCTGTAGACATTTGTTGATCATCCTGTGCCAGGTAATAGTGCTGATAGACAATTAATGTTGGCTCATTGATTTATTTAATTCTAACAACTAACTGCAATTTATCCCTGCTGAATAAATAATTATGTGGGTAGTATTATCCCCAGGTTACAGATGAAGAAACTGAGGTTCAGTGAAGTTATACAAATTCTTCCAGGTCTCATATTGTCATAGCTAGAATTTGAACCTAGAACTTCTTACTCAGAACTCCTTCTGTACCAGTATAATTCTTAGCTTTTTTTTTTTAAAGCAATGCAGCTGCTATTTAGGTGAAATCATAGTGAAGTTCAATGTATAAAACCAATAGAGATAGCACTGCTTTGATGAAGAATAGGTGGGGTGGGGAACAATTATGTGGGAATGGGAACCTGCATGGTCAGCTCTTTGGTAGCCTTTTAGACACCTCTCTGGAATCCCTAGGATTCTACAAAACAGTTTGGCCACACTTTATAAATAAACATATTGATGTGTTAAATTTTATGAGTTCTCAGCTCCTTTGGATGTCACAGTTATATAGTGTGCCTCTGTCTCTTACACTTTCTGGTATTTCTGCCGTCTTCAGTGTAATCCTTTTTATCAGTAGCATTTTTTGATTCATGTGGGTATATGCTCATACAGGTGAATCTTCTATTTATGTTTTCAGAGTGTTTTAATTAGAATTGTATTGTGATTTATAGTTTAATTTACTTTGGAGTATCTGATAACTAACTTCTTTACCTTTCAGATTCTCTTTGTGGCCAGATGGGTTTGTATGGACAGGCTTGTCCATCTGTAACTTCATTAAGGTGAGTGCTCTTCTTTTTCTTTATTTGAACATGCAACATTTATGAAGTTATGCTGGTCAAGTCATGTAAGAATGAATTCCAAGGTGAGGGTCAGAATAGAGTATTGTAGTTTGTTTTGTCATAAAGTGCAATTTGGTGGGGTTGGGAGATATTTTGCTTACAGAGGTATTTGTAGTAATGGGATCTGAGTCTTTTCTTAATCTTCACTTGTGAATTTACATACATATTTTTGTACATGAAATCGTGTAATTTTATACTTATTTGTCATGCCCTTTTTTTTTTAAAGCTGATCTGTTTTCACCTTGTTCTAATTAGAAAATAAGTAGTACATTTTGGTTGCCTTTGTAGCAGATTATTAAATAAGATACTAATTTCAACCTCTTAAAGGATTTGTAAACATGATATCTAGATTATCCTCATTTGCAATAAGTAAGTGCAATGTAAAAAAAAGCAACTAAGTTGTCATATACAACCCTGTGGTTTTAGGTTTTTTTGAAGTTGCTAAATACTTTCTACAAATTAAATCTTATGTGAAATCCAGTGAATAAAATAGATAAATCTGGGATTTTTCTGCTAGCTTGGGCTTCTGTGTTTTACCCTCACAGTTGACCCTGAGGGATTGTTGTAGTTCCCAGAACACAGTTTGAAAAAAATAATCTGAATCTGATCTGTTAATTGAAATCTTTCAGCCTATAATATGAAGTGTTGATGGCAGTGCCTACCAGTTATGTGTGGTGTTGGCAGCTGTTTCATTTATTCATTCAACATATTGAGCACCTAATATGTTGTCAGGTACTACTATAAATGCTGGACTATGGCAATGAGTGTAACAGATTAAAGTCCTGTAATCTTGGAGCTTATGTTCTGGTGAAGGAACAGTGATAAGGGCCAAGGTGAAAAACGCAGTAGAGGGGGGGAGTAAGAAATACAGGGGTGTGTATTATTTTAGATAGGGTAGGAAGGGAAAGCTTTAGTGAAAAGATGACATTTGAATGAAGACCTGAAGGAGTGGTGAAATACGTATATTGGGTATGTGGCAGGTGAGCATTCTAGGTGAAAGGAATCCAGGAACTGCCAAGGCAGGAGACTTGCCTTGTGTGTTGGAAGAAGAGTAAGTAGGGCAGTGTAGCTGGAACTGAGTAAGTGACGAAGAAAATTGGAATTGCCCAGCTTTGGAGGGCAGAAGGAGAGAGAAGAGGGATACAAATTGTTAGAACCATGAATGTGAAGTCAAGGAATCTTTAGGCTTCAAAGAAATTCTTGGTTGTCTGTAATGCTCCAAAAGAAAAATGAGTTGCCTTTTTAGTTTTTACGTACTTGAATTTTAGCAGGCCAAGCCTGGCTATCCTTTTTCCTCAGTAGAAAAGCTTTATTTCATGTCATTATGGCATTTCTTTCCCTGAGACTGCATCTCCCAGCTATAATGGAAATAGATGGAAGTATTGATTTTCTACTTTGCTGGAGTCATGTGTCCCACCTGCCATGTACCCTACTGCACTCCCAACAAGGGACACCTGTATAGCTCTGAAAAAGAGGTTTTAAAAAAAGCTAATCATTTTTTTTTAAATCTCCAAGATGCTGTAAACCAAACTTAACAGTGATTTTGCTTAGTGTGATAAGAAGAGTCATCTTATAATGGGAGGAGTCATCCTTTTCTTGAATGTTTAAAACTTGATATGGTCCTATAAGGATGTTTTGCAGACCTTGATCTTCCATTGGTTAGACTTCCTTGAATATATTTTAGTTGTGGGATATGCTGAAACAATCATGTATTAGAGCCATTGATTGAGATTTTTCAATTCTTTTAAGTATTTATGTCTAAGCTTCTATATGACATTGAGTTAGGAATAATATACACCTACTTTTTTTGCTTGATAGGATTGTAGAATTGGAAGGGATAATGAAAGAGAAGTGGTATCTTGACTTATTATATATAACTTGCTCACTCTATTAAAATTTCAGTGCACAATAGTCTTGAGTCAAAATTTTTTGCTCATTTAACTATAAATTTAGCATTTAATTAATAAACTTAGAAGCTCTATGGCATCTGAGTTGGGACATTTAGTATCCTTATCTGTAATATTCTGTGGTATCTTTCTGTAATATTCTATTTGGTCCATCTCTGAAGCAGAATATTACCATTCTCAAATGTATGAGTAGAAGACCATTGTTTGTCATTGATTTTTCGAACTGGAAGTCAGCATTGGTTTTTGATGTAAGGAAGAGAAGAAAAGAATGACAATTTTTTGGTTGGGGAGAGAGAAACTAGAGTACTTTAAAACTACAATAAATTTTAGTTTACTTTCCATAGAGTCTAACCAAAACCAGAAACAGCCTCTCCAACTACACTGTCCAAATGGGAATAGAACCAGAACACTTAAAGTAACTCAAACCCACTGACAAACTGTTTGTTTGTCATACCTCTCGTATATATTAACTTTATATTTTGTATGTACTTGTATATATATCTAGAAAGTGGCTAGCCTCAAGACAGGAAGCATTTGAGTAGATGGAGAAGAACTGGACATGTGGCTGGGAAAGAGGAAATGGGTAGGCAGGTGGGGGTTTGTAGGCATAGGTAAGAGTGGGAGTAGACAATTTATGTACAAGGGAAGGTAGGTGGTGAAAGGAAAAGTATGGAACATTAAAAAAAATTTGTTGGGTATGAGGATAGCTAATGGATTAAAGCTTTTCTCCCCTCCCTTTAAATATTTAGGGTAAACAGTTATTGTTTTCTGTGGGTGATAATTGGACCTTTGTTTAATCTGAATGTGTTAGGATTATTTGAAAAAATACACTTACTGTTTATTTATGATTAAAATGTAATACATGTTTATTGTAGAAAATTTGGAAAGGGAAAGATAGCCATTGTTAATCTTCATGACATGTAATTTTATACCAATAGATACTACGTATGAATTAGAAAAGGCCCCTTCCTTCAGTTTTCTTTTACAGAATGATTGCAGAAGATTTGGTACTTTTCTAAGTATAGCTAAAAGTATACTCTTTAATTTTTACGAGATTACTCTTAACTGATACTTTGTTCTTTACTAGTTAACATAGGTAGAATTGCATCTTAACAAAAGTTACTAATAACAGTGCATTCTATATAATGAGACTGTTTCTTTTATCAGGCAGGTTTCTGTCAGAGGTAGAAACCACCCCAGTTATTTGAACAGAGATACTTAAGTAGAATCATTAACTAAATATAAAGTTAACTAGGTAATGGAAAGGATAAAAATGAGAACTCTAGGGTATCATGAAGATCAGCACTTCTGGAAGCAGCTAGCTACCAGCTCTATAGGCTCCAAAGGGAAAACCTAGAGACTTAGAGGAAGGGTCCCCCAACTATATAGGCACTATATGGCTAATGCCGGCGTTTGAGCTAAAAAGGGTCCCGTGAGTTTGAGACTCAAACTTCTGAGGAAAGGGTGCTGGCTGGTTCTGGTGTCTCTGAGGGGGATGTGATAAAGGTTATTTCCGTAAGTGTTGGGAAAGTGGTAAACTGGAATCACTTGCTGCTAATGGGGAACACCTGATACTATAGGGATGAAGAAGCCTTTGCTGGGGTAATGCTGTTATGATGCCCAAAGAATATATGGAAAGGTACAAGAATCTTTTTTCTTTTGCGAGCTTGCAGTACATTTTAAGCATTCTATTGGCAGAGTCTTAGAGGAACCTAGCTGGCAAAGCAGAGTCCCAGTTCCAGCATGATTATGGCAGATTGGGAAGAAGGAATGGGGATTTGGAGATGAGGGCAATAACTTAATAACTTAGTCCAGTAAACTACTAAGAAATATGATGTGAAAAGATGTTTTCTCAGATCTATTTTGCAGCCAGTGTTTTATGTAATTTTAGTAGAATACTTGCATGTTGCTAAAAAAAAAAACACAAAAAAACCCCCCTGATTTTGTAAATCATGAAGTGCTATTAAAAGCTTTACATAAGATTTATGTAAGATTCACAAATATTCCTTGCAGTCTGAGTACTGCATTCATATCATGAATTTGGATAGTAAGAATCTGGCTAGTGAGAATAATAGGTCATCTGGATCTGTTCATTTCCTGAGTTTTGGCTAGCAAGAGTGAGCATTCAGATAATGATAGATACGGTTTTTATCAAACAGTAAAATCTTAAAAATTCAGCAGAATCTGGTTGGTTCCTAAGTTTGCAGAAGATGGATTTGAATCCTGAAGGTATACCTGTATTTTATTTCCAAGAATAGTCAGGAAGATCAAAAGTTTATTGAAAAAGCAAAAGCTTTCCTTGAACATTTGCTCTATGTAGCAATTAAACACAAAAATGTATATAACATACTTCTCTCACATATTTTAGCTATGAACTGTTATAATTTGACTAAAGGAAAAAAAATTTGGTTTTTTTTGAACTTATTTAAAATGAGCTCTTGCTGTATTTCTCAATAGCCTAATATTTATTAAAGGATTGATTTTTATGGTTCACATGTATGAACAGACTTGGGCCAGTCTTATCAGTAGCACTTTAAGTAGTTTCATTTACTACCTTCTACCTGAAATCTTTTCCTCTTGTTTTTCTCTTTTTCTCGTCTGTTCCACCCAGTAGCAGAAATAGCTTTTGCATTATCATGCCATAGTTTATCATTCTTTTCTTTATCAAAAATCTGTTAATTTGCATGTTTAGATATGTTCCAGTTAATTAATTGGCTTGTTCTAATTAAATCAAGAGTAATGAGAAACCTTAATTTTGATCATTACAGAAACTTCTCTAAACTGTGTTTTGAATTTTTCTGGCTTATCTTATAAAGCTTTATTTCAGATAATATTGTAGCCACTAGCCTCATGTGGCTTTTAAAATTTAAATTAATAAGAAAAACCCCAGCAGTTCCTCAGTCACACTAGCCACTTTTTTTTTTAACTGTAAAGGGTTGTTTTTATTGTGTAACATAGGCAAAATTAGTTGATAAATTACCCCAGCCACATTTTAAGTGTTCAGTAACCACACAGGGCTAGTGACTGTCATTG